GAGCTTGGCGCCTGCGTAGTTTTGTCCCGTACCACTCTTGCCACGCCCACCTCACCGCCAATAAGCAGCCCCAGACGCGAGACCCACTCGCCACACCTCCCCAGGGCTTGCACAGCTGTGAAGTAGCTCTGGATCCTCACCAACTCCTGCAGCTGCACTGTCTTAACCCCTCAATAGGGCAGCTACAACAGTCTCAGCAGCCGAGTCTTTCATTATTTTGTTTTACTTTATGACACAGGCTGGCAGGGAACTTCCTATTTATACCAAACTGGCCTTCAAGTCAAAGAGCTCCACCAGCCTCTGCTCTGTCTCTTTAGTGCTGAAACTGAGGCATGTGTTACCATGCTCAGGCCAGCAGCCAGTAGTCCTAATGATGTACACCTAACATTCCTCCCTCGAGCACCCAAAATACTAGACTGCAGCGGCTTGCCAGCTGCTCTGAAGAACCTACCTCTCACCCTCTCTTACCCCGTGTTTCATTTTTGTCCCATTCTCTTTTATTTTAAAACTATGTTTGTGTGTGAGTCACCTCGCCAGTACCCCCTCCTCTTTCTTTGAAACAGGGTCTCATAGCCAAGACCAACATGGAGCTTACTATAGAGCCAGGGCTGGTTTACATTTTTCCTTCTTGGTCAGCTTCTCAGGTGTTGGGGATTCAGGCGAGCCCCACTGTGCTTATTTTCCACGTTCCAATCTCATGGACTTTCCCCGAGTTCCTCATACAGGCTTTTTGAGATAGGGTCTGACTATGTCACCCAGGCTGGCTTTAACTCTATGTAGTCCAAGCTGTCCTTGAACTTGAAGCAATTCTCTTGTGTCAGCCTCCTTAGTGTTAGCATTACAAGCATGCGCCACCACGTTTGCCCTTGCCTTATTTCTTCTGGAATAGTCTTACTCCTTCCTTGGCAATCTAATACACAGCAATTTTTGCTCCTGTTCCAATATATTATATCCATCTTACCGGATTCTAGTTCTCTGTCGACAGGCCAGAGCTGTGCTTGTAGCTGAGTACTTGACTGTCTAGCATGCACATAGCCTTGGCTTCAGTCCCCAGGACTGCATATGCGGGTGTGGGAACATAAACCTATAATCCTAATACTCAGGAAACCAAGGCAGGAGAATCAGAAGTTCAAGCCAGGAAATTCCAGGCCAGTCTGTGCTATATAAAAGCCTGTCTCAACTCCGCCCTGTATTCACCACCAATAAGACAAAAAACAAACAAACAAACAAAAAAACATTAAAAATCTAGGCGTGGCCAGGCGTTCCACTGCCTACCTTTAATTCCAGCACTTGGGCGTAAAGGTAGTCAGCTTTCTGAGTAGGCCAGCCTGGGCTACGTAGTGAATCCCAGGTCAACCACAGTTACACAGTGGGACCCTGTCTCAAAAAAATAAACCTCCTTCCCCCCTCAAAAACAAAACAAAACAACCAAAACTAACCAAACAAAAAAGCCAAAAACCCTCGGCTTGTTTAATTGCCATTTTTGTCCACTAGATGGCGCTCCAGCCAGCCCTGGCCAGTTGACATGGCTTTCACATTCCCTGGTCTCTAGTTGTTGGCTGAGGCAATACTCAATATTCCAGAGGATGAAATGTATGACTTTATTTACAAAACTGAGGCTCACCCTCCAGACCATATGTACTAGCCTACTTGTCTAGCCCCTGTGGACTAATGAGGGCTTGCTAGGGGCAAGTAGCCATAGTAATATGCTCCGGTCAGCCAGCCTCACTTCCAGCAGATGATGATGTTGGGGTCATTTTCTAGTCGCTCGTCCAGCTCATGGTAGCTCATGCCTAGAGGGTGTGAGCATGGCAAGGTTATCAGCCCTGGCATGGCCAGCCAGCCCTCACCTCACCCAGCCTGCCCTGCCTGTCCACCTGTCTTGCAGCAGATCTCATCATAGCTGTGGCAGCCTGTGTAAAGCCGGGCAGGGTGGCTCCGTTCCTCCCGAGACACTCGGACTGGATACTTCTGTAGTCTCCGGATGAGGTTCTTCATAAGCCCAAACTGGATTAGCTTCCTGAGTGATTGCAGGGGCAGAGAGTTGACATTCCAGACGCGCTAACCCTTTGGCTTGTTATGGGCTAGAGAGGTCTTCAAACTCCCCATCTGCCCGGACTAGCAGGCTACACACTTGTACGCTCAGGGAATCCCCTGCTTCCTATTTGACTCTTCCAGAGAGACCCAAGACAGTCTAACCTGCCATGCCTGAGAATGCCTGTCTGACCTTTCATCAACATGCTGTAACTGCTGGGGGTGGCGGCCGATGAGGTCTCGCACCGTGGTGCCAGGGCTCAGGCTGCAGTATAGCTGGAACACATCTCGGAGACTGGCCCTTTTGTGCCCTGTGGGTGGCAAGGTAAGTCCTACTCGGTCCTGTCCTTCCCAGATGAGCCCCCCCACCCCCAGGGACTGCTATTACCTTGTTTGGTGACGTAGGACAGACATGCCTCCTGCAGGGACTTGTCATCGACCAGGTCCTGGACTTTTGGCGTTGGGCAATACACATTGGAATACTAGAACACAGCAGGGGTCACAAGGGCCTGAACGATGTGCTTGGGAGTCTGGCTTGATCTGGCCCAGCCATATGGTTCACATCTTACTTAACTGCATCCCAGACTCACCTACCTGGAGGATGGATACCAGTGTCACAACACCATAGTACCTAGGGGGAGAAGAGCTCTGCTTAGCTTCCAGACGCCAAGCCTTCCCTCCCTCACATTCAGTGTCCTTCGGCTCTCCCCAGGCTGGTGGTTCTCTAATAGACATTAACTGTATCTTCTTCACTCACAGCAGGTTCTGAATGGCAATGCGCACCAGGTTGAGCTCCACGTCTGCCTCAGCAGAGATCTTCTGGACATGGCGAAACCCATCAATGTAGGGCAGGATCTGTACAGAGCAAGGCAGGGCCAGCAAGGGTGACCCAGGGCCAAGGTTGTGGACAGCCCAAGGAGGTAATCCCTAAGAGAGGGCTGGCATACCTGCTGTGTGGTAAGGTCCCACTGAGAGCTGAAGAAATCCTCTTTGTCCTTTGTAAAGACAGGCACGTCATACTCCTGTGCGACAGGAGGGTCAGGCCGCTGCTCAATCACCTTCAAGTGGATGGTGTTGGATTCATCTGCAGGGGACCCCACCCGCATCCTCAGTGCCATCGTTTCCAAGGGACCCTCAATTACTATCTAAATCTCCCAGCAGGACCGGAGGTGGATCGTGGGAGGATCATTATTCCTCTTTTACAGAGCGAGAAACTGAGGTCCAGAGAGGAGGACAGATGTAGCCAGGAAGTAGAACTGAAAAGTTCTGCTGGCTGCCTCCCCAACCCCAGCCCCATTGTACCCTAGACCCTCAGACGTCACTGTGTCAACCCATGGCTATTTCTAGCCCACCAACTTCTTTAAGAATCTCCTCCTCCTCCTCCAGTGGCTGTGTTCATCTGCCATCCTGGCAGAGGCGGTCATACCGATGGGTAGAGTGCACCGGCCAGAGGCGTTTAGTTCTTCCAGTAAGATGGTCATGATGGGCACTAGCTTCTGCTTGCTCTCCTCAGTGGACACGAAGCTGCTTTCAAGCTGGATAGAACACGGGCAGCATAGTGAGTGAGGAGACCCCAAGCTCCTGGCTGGCAGCACTCTGAGCTAGTTGCTGCAGCCTGGGGGTTAGAGAGCCAGGAATTCTCTTCCCAGCTGTGCCCACCACTCACCCACCCGTGCCCATCTTGCCACAGACCTCCAGTGTGGTCAAGTAGCCGGCCAGCTTTTTAACAATGGGTTCCAGGGCACATGTCTTAGCCTGAGCGTCACACACAAAGCCCAGGTTGAAGAGGAGAGCGTTGCGGCTGTACTTCTTGTGTTCAATGCACACGGGGCAGCCAATCAGCTTCTTCTCCATGGCTGTGCTGGATGGGTAGAACAGAGTCAGCCTGCCCCTCAAGCCAGGCTGGGACCCCTCTGCTCCCGCCCAACTAAGGCCTCACACGGTGATGAGCTTGTTCTGTAACTCGGGCTTGGTGATGATGTACACCTGGACAGTGTCAAACAGCTCTCGGGAGATGAAATCTTCAGGGACCTGGAGAAGGCACGATGAGAGTTCACTCAGTGGACATCCGGATTGGGTGGTTTTTACATCCTGGCACAAGTCCCTTTACTGTTTTCTTTTCCTCATCCACCCAGTAGACTACTTTGTGCACCCAAATACATGTTATGTGTTGGCAAGCTTCCTTGGCTTCTCACTATTCCCACTACCTGGAATACCCTTTCTACACCCACCTGACTTTTATATATCATATGTCTTAGTCCAGTGTTTCTCTTGGGTCATCTAAATCTTCAAGAGACCTAGCACCTCTCTGAAACCTAGAGCTCAAACCAGAGACCTGGATCTGTGTACCCTCAAGGAATCTGTGAAAGGAGTGGCATGCGTGGATGAACCACAACGCCTCCAGGGAGCCAGCTGAGCTCCAGAGAGCATCCCTCCCTTCGTCTAGTCCCGGCAGTGTGGAAGGCACCTGATAGGTAATTTTGGGTCCCAGCGTAGGGTGGAACTCGCTGAAGAATATGCATTCGATGCGGCAGCTGCTGCCCATGGCGCTGTCTGGACCCAAGTCTGTAATCCTTGTTTTTCGTGTGATGGTCGCCTCCACCCCTTGGAATACCTGTCAAAAAAGAGAAAGAGGCCTGGCTAGGTCACACAGGTTTGTGAGCACAAACCAAACGACCCGTCAACTCAACGGCGCCTGCGCAGGGCGACTCAGGGGGCGTGGCTGCCGCTGGATGGGATGGGAGGGGGCTTGTCCCAGGAAGTCTTGAGTGGGTATGCATCGCACCCGGAAGTGAAGCGCCTCCGTAACGGAGCGGTGGCGCGGCCGACGGGCCGGAGGGTCCAGTTTATTTTGGAAGAAGTCACTGCGTCGAACCTGAGAAGCAGGTGAGGAAGGCAAAATTCTACGGTGGAGGTACAGCGTGCCAGGTGCACATGGGGAGGCAATGTGCAAAGAGATTCACGCTTAGGGAGGAAAGCAGCTGGGAAATACAATTCCCGTAGTGCTCCACGCCTTCCGTTCCGGCTAACGATGACGTGCTGCATTCTGGGACTTGTAGTCTTCCTCCTCCCACTTGGAAGGTGCGATCAGTACCACTTCAAATACAGGTGTTTGACAGGTAGACTCTGCTAAGTTGTGATTGTTGGTGCCGGCATTGCTCTGCTCCTGTCATAACTTCTCCGGGAAAAGGTGCCATTCCTGCCCTGAATTGCTGTCCCCAGTGAGAGGCGTGGACAGTGGGCACTCTTGCCAACACCTACGATGCTTTCAGGCTGTGCAGCTATCGGCTGGGCTGACCATGGCCCTTTCTGTGGAGACGGAGTCGCACATCTACCGAGCTTTGCGCACTGCCTCTGGGGCTGCAGCCCACCTTGTGGCGTTAGGCTTTACCATCTTTGTGGCTGTGCTTGCCAGACCTGGCTCCAGTAAGTAGAATTCATAGTCGACTTATGGTAAGGGAAAAGCCACTTCTCTTGGGGAATAGGGGGCAGTAGAATTGATGGGTGTAACTCCTGGGAACAGGGTTGGCTGGCTGAGGAATATTCTGTTGAAGGTATTTAACGTCCCGGGTAGAGCAGATTAGTGTGGGGACTTTGCCAGCCTGGCCAAGCTTTAGAATACATGGCTTCTCCTTCTTTGACTTGGCCTTTCATTCCTGACTTATGGGGATGCTGGAGGGAGCTGCCAGAGGAGTGGCAGAGAACGCTTTCTGTCCCAGGAAGAGACTAGGGGGTGGGTAAGATGAGCTTGTTACAGGAAGGGGCTCCCATTTGACACTTCCTTAGGTGATGGATGGGCTGTCCATATCCAGCCTATAAGAGACCAGTATGCTGGTTTCTTTTTCCCTCAGATCCATGAGGCATCCTCTTCTCATTCCAGGTCTATTCTCCTGGCACCCCGTTCTTATGTCTCTGGCTGTAAGTAGTGGGTCTGGGTTGCTTTTAGGGGTAGAATGTGGGTATGGGTGGTGACCCTTAGAATCCTTGAAGGCATTTAGTGCTAGTTTAGAGGGGCTGCATGTTCCCACTACTACTTCTGACGTATATCCAAGGCTTGAAAACAGTCTTCAAGACCCAGGACAAACAGGCGAAGCTCAACCAAGCACAGAACGGAAGCTTCTCACCTCCGGCTAGGTAGCTGAGAAGTGGCATTTGGAGGTAGCTCTGTCCCTAAAAACCTTAATTTATGGCGATGTATCTAACTGTCCCTGAAACAGTGCGCCCATGTGGCCAGCTCCTGCCAAGAAATTGTATCCTGCCCCGTGGGAGGAAGACAAAGCTTGTGAATCATTTATAACTGCCAGGTCTCAAACCTTGTTTGCTGGGTAATGTAGCAGAGGTGACATTTCAGAAAAGCACCTAGGAAGAAGTCTGGAGTGGCAGCTCTCCCTAACTACTCAGGGCAGCTGTTTTGTACCACACAGGGCCTTCCACTGTCTCACCTAATGCAGCATTTTGCCCTTGGGGGAAGGGAACGGAAGGGGGCTGCTCCATGGTGGAGGGTTAACTGCTCAGAGTTCACTTGAGTTTCTCTGTCTCCTCAGTTCTCCTTCCTAATGACGGAGGCACTCTTGATGTTCTCTCCTGAGAGTTCACTGCTGCGCTCTCTCTCACGGAAGGTCCGAGCACGCTGCCACTGGGTGCTACAGCTGCTAGCCCTACTCAGTGCTCTGCTGGGTCTAGGTCTTGTTATTCTCCACAAAGAGCAGCTTGGCAAAGCACACCTGACCACTCGACATGGGCAGGCAGGGCTATTAGCTGTGCTGTGGGCAGGTCTGCAGTGTTCAGGGGGCGTGGGGCTGCTCTACCCCAAGTTGCTGCCCCGATGGCCCCTGGCAAAGCTGAAACTCTACCATGCTACTTCTGGTTTGGTGGGCTACCTGCTGGGCAGTGCCAGCCTTCTGTTGGGCATGTGCTCACTCTGGTTCACTGCCACTGTCACTGGTGGGGCCTGGTACCTGGCTGCGCTGTGCCCCATCCTCACCAGTTTGGTAATCATGAACCAGGTGAGCAATGCCTACCTGTACCGCAAGCGGATCCAGCCATGAGTGCTTGCCAGCTGTCAGGATGCCTGGAGCTGCACCTCAGCAGAGGACCAGGAGTGGGAATCTGTTGGACTCTCACAGCTGACTGGGTGAGGGGACATTTCAGGTTACTAGGGCACTCAGGGGTACATCTGTGACATTTTTTCTCCTCACGCTAGAGTGTCTCCCTTTTCTTGCTGTCAGCCCAGGGGGAGCATGGATCATGTGTCTGGATGAAATTGGAGTTGCAGCAGTCTCCCCAGCAGCCATATAGCTTATATTTGTACTGGTACATCCAGAAATCATGGAGAAAAAAAAAAAAGTAAAATAAACAAGCAAACAAACCCCTGAAAACCTGTTGGGAACAGCACAGAGTTGGGGATGGTTCTTGCTAATGCATCGCTGTGAGAAAATATCAGCTGGGTAAGGTGGGGACCCTCCTCATCTGGGGGTCCTCAAAACCTGCTGGGAAACTTCCTTGTACACCCAGTGCATTGGGAAGCTACATGTGGACCGCACAGCTGTTTCCAGCTACCTGTGCTGGAGTCTGGAGACTATGGCTAGTGACAGGAGATGGACTGTGTCCACTGGTGTCACAACACAGGGCACAACTTAGGAGTTGAACCATGGTCAGTTGTGGTGGCGTGTGGATCTCTGTGAGCTCCAGGCCATAGTAAGACTCTGTCTCAAAAAGGAAAAAGAAAGTGGAATCATGAACAAGAAAAACTTGCTTTCTGTTTTTGAGACAAGCTTTCAAGGCTCCCAAGTGGGCTCTGAACTCACTATGTGGCCAAGGATGATACCCTACTTCAGGTGCTCCTCTTCCACCTCAGTGCTGGGACTTTAGGTGTGTATGCATGTACCACATGTGTACACACCATGCCCCCATTTACGTAGTGCTGGGACTTAAACCTAGAGCTTGAAATGCTAAGCAAGTGCTCTATCAACCAAGCTACACCTTCAACCCCTAGTTTGTTTGTGTTTTTTTTTTTTTTTTTTTTTTTTTTTTTTTAAAGGTTTTTTTTTGAGACAGGGTTTCTCTGTGTAGCCCTGGCTGTCCTGTAACTCACTCTGTAGACCAGGCTGGCCTCGAACTCAGAAATCCGCCTGCCTCTGCCTCCCAAGTGCTGGGATTAAAGGCGCGTGCCACCACCACATGGCTTAGTTTTTGTTTTTTTTTTTGAGACACAGATTATAGATATGTGCCACCATGCCCTGCCTAAGCCAACACCTAATGATGGAGAGGCCTTCAACTGTCAGGTCCACTGGCTCAGAGTCTTTCTAATAGACTGAGAAGAGGAAAAAGAAAGGGACTAAGGCGATGGCTCAGGCGAGACTACCCAGCAGCAGGCATGTGCTAACAGACAAGAGGTGCTGACAGTGGGATTCTAGCCAGGTGGAGGTGCCATGGAACTGAGCCCTAGGACCCAGAAAACACATTTAACTTTGCATTTGATAAAGATGAGAGGGCTGCACAAGATGGCCTGACGGAGCCCAAGAGCCACACCTCAAAGAACTGCTTTATTGATACTGTGAAGCTAGGCCTGGTGGCCTGCTCAGGTGGTCCTGTAGAAAATACCTGGGAGCTGTGGCAGTCCCAGCACGGTCGTCACTGCCACAGCAGAAGGGCACAAGAAACCCTGATGTGAATGCAGTCTGGGGGTGGGCAGGGATGTGCAGACCCACACTGGCTGGGTCCCCAGAACTTTTTTTTTGGCAAATACAAATCCTTGCCTTGGCTCAGGGCTGTTGGCAACCAGTTTCAGATGTAAGGGCTGGCCCAGGAGCCGTGGCACCAGTGTCCCTGCAGTCACTTCCTTGGTGAGGAACTGTACCTGCTGAGGTACAATCTTACTGCAAACAAACGGGGGTCTGCATGGGCTGATGCTCAGAGGCCCCGTACCTGGCATTGTGGTTGTCTGGAGTCGGAACCAGGTAGCAACAGGGTCCTGCGTTAGTGTTGTTGAGACACAGCAGAAGGCCACAGAAACCCCCAGCAGACCCTCTTCCCTCTCCTCAGAGCACCCAGTGCTCTGCAGTAGCTGAGAAGGATTGGGGAAGGCATGGGAGTCGGAGAACTGCACTCAGAGAGGTCTAGAGTAGGGGAGCTGCCTCCAAGGTGATGAGACTAGATTCTGAGACAGTCCCCATCCCTGGGGGTGTGGAAGCTGGTTCCGAGGGCAGAGGACTGTCCGTTTTTGCTCCAGCTTCCTCTTCGTCATCATCCATGCTGGGCCAGGCTGACTGATCCTCCACTCTCTTCAGCCGCTCATTGAGAGCCTTCAGGGCCAGTTGCCTGGAACCAGAAGAGAAAAGGCAGATTACACCGGGTTTGGGAAACCAACATACTCTGCAACCTCTTCAACAAGGCCAAATCCTCCCACCAAAGAGGTTTGCCTCCCAAGTCCCACGTTTCCCATCCCCATGCAGCCTGAGTCAGGATCTGCTTTGGCAACTGGAATGAGGACCTAAGGCCTTGGCAAACCCAAGGCACCTCCAGACTGAGAAGGCTACCTAGATGTTGGCAGCCTACCTACCAGGCCAGCCATCACGGACACTTCTGAGTTTGCGAGCTAAAGACAGGTAGATGTAGTGCTTCTGGGCAGGAGTGGCATGTTTTAGTCCCTAGAAACGAGTCCTGTGTGAGCACTGGTGTCATTTCCAAGGACAGGGTTATTTGCTTTTGTAGTACTAGGGATTAAACCTAAGGCCAGCACTCCACCACAGAGCTGTATTCCCGGCCCTTAAAACAAACACACTATTTTTGTTTTTGTTTTTGAGGCAGGTCCATACTGGCTTCAAGCTGGCTCTGTAGTGCAGGCAGTCCTTGAATCTCCTGTCTCAGCCTCCTGAGTAGCAGGGATTAGAGGCCTGTATCACCAGGCTCAGCTCGGGGAAGAGCTCTTAATGAAGCAGCATCAACTTGCATCACCCTTCCTATGACAATTTTCCTAGAAAGGTTTCCCAAAGCCATCCAGACCTTAGCAGAGCCTCTGTAGGAGAAACAGCCATGTGGGCAGGCCACAGAGAAGGGGCTGCTGTTTCCACAGGGTAGACTTTTACAGGCATTATTTTGAGAAAAGGTGAGAATATACCCTTGGAAATTTTCTTTAGGACACCCAAGAAGTCTCAAGCTGTAGGGCCCAGAATTGGCCTGCAGCATGCCTTGGGTGCTTCCCTACACCTTGGCTACTAGCTGGAAACTCCTTCAAGGAAGATGTGCCCTACACACTGAGCTACCCAGCCTCAGTGGAGAACAAGGTTCTGCGTGTTCAGCACTCTGGCCCACAGAACGTGAAGTGGCCACTCCAGCTGTTGTCTGTGGATCCTGATGGCTCGCCTCTTTGCTACTACAGGTGGAGAAGCCGTCCTGTGGCTTTCCAAGATCTAAAGTTTCTACTACGCCAAGGAGAAAGACAGGAAAGGCAGCAGGGAAACAGGCACTAAAAACCCCAATACACTCCAGGCCTTCCCTGTCACTCCACAGGCTACTCTTGGAGATGTCCTCGCTAGCAGTGACTATGTCACAGGCAGAGACCTCTGTGGAACTCTTTCCTCCTTGTAGCCCTTTGTGTCTGAGAGTGGCAGGCAGTTGGATGACAGTTGTCTGGGAGTTATCACCCACCCCATACGGGCTAACAACCATCAGACTGGGCCAGAAACCCACCTCTTGGGCCAATCCTCACTCTTCTTTTTCTGTCCACTTTCTTGATCCTGGAGAGAGGTTTTCTGAATGACCAGTCAACTGTCACAATTTAAGACTTCTCACTGGGGCAAAGGAAAGCTCTGGCCTAGTCCCACCTGGACAGCTCTAAGGACAACTCTGTCCTTAAAAACTCAGCCCCCAGCCCATTTCCTCTACTAAGGAAGGTCAAGATGGAGTTGTCTTTAGGACACTCTCCCAAAAACTCAAGCTGTAGGGCCCAGAATTAGGCCTGCAGCATGCCCTGGCTGTGTTCCCACACATACCAGCTGGTAACTCCTTCCAGGAAGGAGTCTGCACTCAGCTATACAGACTCAGTGGAGAATAAGCTGAGAATTCTTCCACTGAGGTCAGGGACCCCTTTCAAAGGTGAGCAAAAGCAGGAACTTTTGACAAATGCTAAGGAATAAGGCTGCTGAGAAACTTCCTGAACAGTCTCAGGAATAACAGCGGACACAGAACTGTGGATCTCCTGGGAGCTGGGAACGCTGTAAAGACTCCATAGGTCTCAGAAAGTAAGACCTGAATTCGAAAAGCTTCCTCCTGTCCTGGCTAAAGTGTCCAGTGAATAATGCATTAAAATTACTGATGCTGTATTTGTCGGTAATGCAAAGGTCCCTGACCTGTCTGGTGTGGTCAGTAGGCTCCTCCAGTGGGTCATACAACCTGTCTCCGTTGGTGACACGCCAGGAAGAGGGGTAAATTTAGTAACCTAATCATTCTACATTAAGAAGGGAAAGACTTAAGGACAAAGACATTCTTCCCCATCTCCCATCACAGGAGAAAAGGATCAACAGTTTCTGTCTCTCACAGGACCAGTGCTTAGATCTGAGGTAAGACCAAAGGTAACTGGGCATTCTGTAGACAGGTTAACTGGCCCAAGTTGTGAGATACACATACTAGAGCCCAGAGACCTACATACTGAGTTCCCTCCTCAAGGCCAAAACCTGAATCCTTTTTCTGAAGCTGCCCCCAACACCTGCCTGTAGTTCTCCAGCCTGTGTAAACACCTCAATGGCTGGTTATGTGACTACACCAATAGTCTAGCTAGCCAAGATTTTGGAAAAGTTCCCAGTACCTTCTGCGCTCCGCATCCTGAGGGTCTGTGCCTGGGAGGCTGATAGTGATGGATGACGGCGCTCCCACATCATAGCGCTTCACTGTCTTCTGGCATAGCTTTACTTTCACCAGGAAGCCATGCACCAAGTTCGCTAGCAACCCCACTACCGGTTGCAGGATCTCAGGGAAGAAGGTGGCAAAAGCAAAATGATCAGCCATGTCCCCTCGGCCCCGGCTATGGCGCTGATAGAAGCGAAGATACACCCAACTTGATAGCAGCCCAAAGCCATAGGAAGCCAGTGCTGGGCTCTGGAGCAGTGTGGCCAACCGGAGCAGTAGCAGCAAGGCCAGCAATAGCATGGGAACTACGCTGACGCGGACCTGGGGCACTCGCAGAACCACACAGTCTCCCATAGTTTGCTTGAGGGCTACCAGGACACCACCTAGGAAGCCCAGGGCGCCATGGATACGAATAGTGAACAGGTAGACCAAGTTGAAGGAAGCCATGTAGGTGAGGAGGTAGGCGAAGGCCCCCAGAAGCCCCACTGACACATTCACCACCGAGAAGAAGATGAGCAGCTCCAAGGCTCCC